AAGTTGATAACTAGTTATTGACTAGCGTGGAATAAAGTATCTCTCCATTTCGCCCGTTTTCAGTGTCTTCATTTACAAGTTGATAAATTACGCTTCTTTTCGACGTTTACATCAAAATTTTTTTAAATTAAGATATAACTGAACAGCATTTACCTAAAAAAATGAGCTTTTGTATATTATTTACTATGCAGATGGCCATGTAGGTCAAATGTGGAAATGCTTCAAAACAGCAAACCACATTTTCGAGCATACAAAATGTCTGCTAGATACCACGAATAATGTTATTCCTAAGATTAATAAAAAAACCTTCCATAATAGGTTACCTCTTTAAAAAGTGCTTTAATTGGATATTTAGCTGACGAACTTCAGTGTATATTAGCTTTTCTGAAGTAATGTCACAGTGAAAATGGAGGCTTTTGGCAATTTCCATAGTGAACCTGAAGAAAAACGATTGAATTTGACTGGAGATGAAAGAACATACTTTTCTCTTTATAAGAGATTATCTTCCGCTTATTGGGTTTAATTCCACGACCCGTAATAAGCGTGCGAATGGAAAAAAACAGGCCACATATATGACCATTTTTTGAACTTCTTATTATTCTTCTATCTGTTTCGTTTCTAAATAACGCTTGATCGGAACGGATTGTTTACAAAAAACTATACTTCTACATGACTTACATTCAATAAGGCTTCTACAGGTTGTCTTCGCGGTAACATATGGAAACTTTGCTTAGGTGCAAGGCCAGTTGTGCGGTAAAAGAAAGTGTTCTACCAAAAACTTTTATTACTGCATTTTCTGCAAAAAACTTCACAGAATAGCCAAAAATAATTTTAAAAACTTCTATCTCTGCTTGTTTCTGAAAATAAATTCGATTTCTTAAACTTCGCTTCACTTCTATTCGAACAACTTCGCACATCATTTTCCAGCTCTGTTAGGGATGATTATTCCACCTTTTTTACTAATTATGTAATTCTTTCACATCACAATGTCTATTTGAAAAAAGTTTGGTTCTGCGTACGAGAGCAGACAAATGCATGCGCAATATAAATAAACAGCATTTAATGTTTCTGAAGATTGTGCGAACAGCAACATTTACTGAATCCATTTATTTCGAGGATGCTCATCCTTTGCTTCCTCTCGTTGCGTAACGTGAATAACGTCAGAGAAAATTAAAATTGAATTTATAAAGACAAATCGATACAAAACAACAAGGTCACAGGAAATCGCCAAGACGCAATTAATAAAGTAAGAAAGTTAAAACGATGTGGGCAGCAAAAACTGGAGGCAGCCTATATACGGCGGTTTAAACCCGACCTATTTAAAAGACTGGATCATGTGGTGTACCTAACCCTGCCGTGGTAACCCCGGCTCCATGTTTATACATTTCCCTCCCCAGTTTTTGCTGCCCACAGCGTTTTAATTTTCTTACTTTATTGATTGCCTCTTGGCCACTTCCTGTGACCTTTCTGTTTTGTATCGATTTTCCTGTATGAATTCAATTTTATTTTCTCTGACGTTATTTACGTTGCGCAGCGAGAGGAGGGAAGTGATGGGCACTCTCGAAATTAATAGATCCAATAAATGTTGTTCTTTACACGATCTTAAAAAACTGCATCAGGGAAAAGAAGGTTTAAATATTATCTTTTTTTAAGAAAATTCAGTCGACGTTCGTTAAAAGCGTTTCTAAACAGACAAAAAAATTACAATGGAAATAATGGGCAACAGTATATCGTTTCACCGAGCCATATTTAGGAAATACTTGATTCCTTTTGGCCGCGGTCGTCCACGTCCTTCGTCTCCTGCATAGTGTCTGTTCTAGTTTTCGGCAGACACCAACTGACAATGCGCGCAATGCCGGAACGTCGAGGATGATTATGATCGGCAAAACGAACACGAATGTCAAGCAGAAGTTGGATTGTCTTTGATAGTGGAGTGTTTATTTGATTTGTCCAGAGGCCCGCTGCGCATACGCATTTGTGGCCTGGTTCGGAGATACCACTCACCAGGAAACTGATCGAAAGTGGCACAGTGCAGAGGAAAGCCATCATCCATCCCTGCGGACGACTGAGTGCCTTCATCTGCACCTGCGTAGTGCCGGGAAGCGTCAGTAGGTTCCAAGTGTCGTAGAGGTGCTCAGGTGGTGTGTTGCGCACCCAGTTGATAATTTTATAACAGGAGATGCTCAAAACGATGGTGCAGAGACCTGCAGTTAAACCAAAGCGAAGGAAGGTTCCCGCATAATGAGACACAAG